TGTTGAAGTTGACACAAGCAACATACAGGATTGTCTTGGCATGGTAAATAAGAACCTCTCTCTTTTTTATTATTGCTTCTGTATATATATATTTAAATTCGTTCAGGTTGGTGCCTAAGTTTGAATTTTTGTTTGTGTTTTAGGGTTGATTTTATCGTTGATCGATAAATTAACATGTGTGATAACCACATATTTTAATATTCTATAAATGGAATTTGTTCATGTTGTGATATCTTCATATATCTCCGTGATTACGATTTAATTTTTTTCATATGAATTTTATACATAAGCAAGAGGTACCATTTTTTTTTATTACTATTTAATTTTTTCATATCAATTATTCTGTTGCATCTAATATGACATTAGTTATATTCTTGAACAGGTGATGGCTAGCAAGACCAAGATATATATCGTTTTGGAATTTGTAACTGGTGGATGACGAAATTGTGAGATATTGGCTGCTTTTATCTTGCATTCATACATTCAATTGCAACTAGTAGTTGAAGCTGCAGATATTTATTATGTTTCCTTGATACAGGAAAGTAAGGGAAGATTGAAAGAAGATGAAGCAAGTTAAATATTTTCAGCAGCTTATTAATGCTGTGGATTATTGTCATAGTAGAGGTGTTTGTCATCGAGACCTAATGGTGCATAGCATATTCTCAAATATATCATTCCTCCGTCAATGTTATTAAATATTACTTTTATTAAACTGCATTCTAAATAGTATTGGTAATAAAAATGAAGACAATGTCATAGTTACTAAAAAGGTTTTTTTGTCTATGAGCTTCAGCCACAGAGAATTTATTATTGGATGCTAGTGGTGTTCTAAAAGTTTCAAATTTCAGATTGAGTGCTATACCTCAACAAGTTCGAGTGAGAATTATGCTAATATTTATTCCGCAAGTGATTTAAAATTACATGCTTCGGATATTTGCATGTTTTTTTAATTGATGGATTCATGAATAATCCTTCTCTCCCCATCATAGGAGGATGGTTTACTTCACACAACATCTGGAACGCCCAACTATGTTGCTAAAGGTATATTCGCTTTTGACTTGGAACTATTAATTATTTTGCAAGTTCAACAACATATGGGAAATGGGGAGTCTAACCTCTGATCTTTCTCAATCCATATCTCTTTTCTTCAAGTTTAATTGTTGTATGATTTAATTTTTAGGTAAATAAAAGAACCATACTCACCCAAAATATAGTTATGTCAAGAAGGGTCAAGTTAGGAAAGGAGATCAAGATTTGTTTCTCTCTCTACTTGCACTTTCTCCCTCTCTCACTGATAAAAAAGCATTTGTAGGGATGGAAAACGTTACACATAAAAAATATGTTAAGAAGTTGTAATCCTTCCATCTTTCTCTCTCGACTTGAAGTACTCTTTCTCAATCTCTCTCTCTTTTCTTCAAGTTCAATTGTTGTAGGATTATTTTTTAGGTAAATAAAAGAACCAATATAATACATACTCACCAAAAAATATAGCTATAGGGTGGGTCAAACTAGGAAAGGACATTAAGGTTTTTTTCTTATAACTGCCATTAGGTTTGTTTCTCTGTCTCCTAACTCTTTTTACCTCTCTTATTTATAAAAATGCAAGGGATGGAAAACAAAATACATATATCAAATATGTGCAGAAGTTGAAAAGAAAGTTGTAATCCTTCTATATCTCTATCTCTCACTCAATCTTTTTCCTCGCTCTCGACTTCAGATAACCTTTCTCAAAACGTCTCTCTTTTCTTGAAGTTTAATTATTGTATGATTATTTGTTAGGTAAATAAAACAACAATCCAAACTCATCCAAAATATAACTATGGAACGAAAGGTTAATTAGGTTAAGAAAGGACATCAATGTTTGTTTCTCTCTCTACTCACCCATTCTCCCTCTCTCATTGATAAAAATATATTTTGTCGGGATGGAAAACAGAATACATATAGCAAATACGTACAGATGTTGAAAAGAAAAGAAGTTGTAATCCTTCCATCTCTCTTTCTCGATCTTATTCTTCTCTCAACTTCATGTACCCTTTCTCAAACCCTCTCTCTTCCTTTTAAGTTTATTTGTTGTAGGATTATTTTCTAGGTAAATCATAAATGAAAGAATCAAATCCAGACTCGCCCAAAATATAGTTATGGAAGGGAGGCCTAGCTAAGAAAAAACATCAAGGTTTTCTTCTCTCTTTACTTGCACTTTCTCCCTCTCTCACCGATAAAAATGCATTTTGTAGGCATGCAGCTGTAGAATACATATAGCAAATACATATAGAAGTTAAAAAGAAAGGAAGTTGCAATCCTTCCATATCTCTCACTCGATCTTCTTCCTCTCTCGGGCCTCGGCTTCAGGTATCTTTCTTAACTCTTCTCTATTTTCTTCAAGTTTAATTGTTATATGATTATATTTTAGGTCAATAAAAGAACCAATCAAGAATCACCCAAAATATAGTTATCGAAGGGAATGTCAGGCTAAGAAAAGAACATCAAGGTTTTTTTCACTTTACTCACTCTTTCCCCCTCTCTCACTGATAAAAATGCATTTTGGCAGGGTTGGAAATATAATACATATAGTAAATAGGTAGAAAAGTTGAAGAGAAAGGAACTTGTAATCTTTCTCTCTCTCTCTTATAAAAATGCATTTTGTACGGATCGGAATTATAGTACACATAGCAAATACGTACGGAAGTTCAAAAGAAAGGAAGTTGTATTCCTTCCATTTCTCTCTCTCTCTCGATCTTCTTCTTCTCTCTACTTCAGGTACTCTTTCGCTATTCCTTTTTCTTTTCTTTAAGTTTAATTGTTGTATAATTATTTATTAGGTATATAAAAGAACCAAGTCATACTCACCCAAAAATATAGCTATGGTAGGGAGGGTCGGCTAGGAAAGGACATTGAGGTTTGTTTCTCTCTCCATACTCATTCTTTCTCCCTTTCTCAGTAATAAAAATACATTTTGTTGGGATGGAAAATAGAATACATATACTAATGTGTATAAAAGTTGAAAAGAAAGGAAGTTGTAATCCTTTCATCTCTCACCCTCTGGATCTTCTTCCTCTCGAGACTTCAGGTACTACTTTTTCTCAATCCCTCTCTCTTCTTTTCATGTTTAATTGTTGACTGGTTGTAAAAAAAAAGGTTTAATTGTTGTATGATTATTTTCTAGGTAAATAAAAAAACCAATCTAGACTCACCCAAAATATAGCTAGCTAGGCTAGGAAAAGACATCTAGGTTTGTTTCTCTCTCTATACTCACCATTTTTCCCTCTCTCACTGATACAAATACATTTTGTAGTAATGTAAAAGAGAATACATATAGCAAATACGTACGGAAGCTGAAAAGAAAGGGAGTTGTAATCCTTCCATCTCTCTCTCGACTTGAGGTACTCTTTCTCAATCCCTCTATCTTTTCTTGAAGTTTAATTGTTGTATGATTATTATTTTTTTTGGTAGGCCCGCTTAAAATATAGCTATAGAAGGGAGGATTAGGAAAGAACATCAATGTTTGTTTCTCTCTCTACTCACTCTTTCACCCTCTCTCACCGATAAAAATTCATTTTATGGGGATGGAAAACTGAATACTTTTAAGATATCTATAAATGATTAGATTTATCCTAACACATCAACTAAAACTTTTGGGTTCATTGGTGATTCAACATATTTAAAAAACCTAATGGGTTTAAGAATGGAGATGACCTAGTTGATAAAAGATAAATAGGAGCCCAACCCATCACTTACAGGTCAAGTAGGTAGGACCAGTTTAAGAGAGTTGGCTGGTTTGACCACAAGGAGCTCTTGAATCTCTCTTGGCCTTTGTAACTCCTTCAATATAAATAATATAAGTTGGGTTCTATCATGTTGCCTCAAAATGATGGTTGTCACAAGATAATTTTTTCGTCAATATGACGGTTGTCCCAATTGGTTGTTTTAGAGTGACAGTTGCTTCAATATATATGTGGTCTAAAAATTATAGGGGTCTTGAAATATTGGCTTCTTTGAAATAAATGATCAATAGTTGCCTTACTATGTTACTTGTTTCTTAGTATTGGTTGCCTTAAAATATAGGATTAATGGTTACCTTAATATGTCGATTTTCCCTAAATATTGGTTCATTTAATTATAGAACTAAATGGTTCCTTGATTTGTCGGTTGTCCCTAAACTTTGGTTGCCTCGAGATAAAGCACCAATGATTGTCACGATATGTTGGTTGATTCTGAATATTGTTGACTTTGAAATATATACGACCAATAGTTGCCTCAAAATTTTTGTGATCTCGAAATGATGGTTGTCCAAAAATGTTTGTTGCTTCGAAATGATGGTTGTCTCAAAATAGTTGCCTTAAAATGTTGCTTGTCCGGTTTCCTTAAAATTTAGAATTAATGGTTGCCTTAATATGTCGATTGTCCCTAAATATTGGTTCCACTAAAGTAGGACCAATGATTGCCTTGATTTGTCGGTTGTCCTTAAATATTGGTTGCCTTAATATGTCGATTGTCCCTAAATATTGGTTCCTCTAAATGTAGGACCAATAATTTCCGTGATTTGTCGGTTGTCCCTAAATATTGGTTGCCTTAATATGTCGACTGTCTGGCTGTCCCTAAATATTGGTTCCTCTAAATGTAGGACCAATGATTGCCTTGATTTGTCGGTTGTCCCTAAATATTGGTTGCCTTTGTCACGATATGTTGATTGTCCCTAAATACTAGCTGACCTTGAATTATATGACCAGTAGTTGTCTCAAAATTTTTGTGATCTCGAAATGATGGTTGTCCAAAAATGTTTGTTACTTGCAATGATGGTTATCTCAAAAATTTTTATGGCCCAAAATAGGTACTAATAGTTACTTCTTTGTCGGTCCTTTTTTTTAAAACTAACATCCTTTTGGTCAAACATCGGTTAGTGTAGCTTCTCTTGAAGGGAACCCATTAAGCTTGTAAAGATCCTTGATCCCTTTTTCGAGTACAATTCTAACATTCACTCAAACTATTTCGTATAAATGCGTACTCTTTCTAAGCTACCAATTTATGGCAAATAACCTGCAATATTGTCGCAAATAGTTCCAACCATTACTTCCTTGTGTAGCCTTTTATTGTTCTATACTTGCATCCTTATTTTTTGTTAGTAAAGCTTCCCTCGTAAGATAATACCCATTAGGCTTGTTAAGCAACTTTAGACATTTTTCATATTACAATTTTAGCACTCACCCAAATAACTCATGTTTGTGTATAGCCATTTTTTCTTTTATAGCCATATGTCTAGACCCAACTAGATAGTGTGAAGAAGATTCGAGACTGCCCAGCCCATTTTCTTGAGAAGACAATAATTAATCTCTCTTTGGATACCTCAAACCTAAAATCGTCGGATAACTTAGCAAGGAACTATTCATTAACTTTTTAGAAAGGGTTGCGTATTTCTTCACCTTGCAAACATGTTGGTTGATGTCTTCACCATCTGCAATGTCCTCTAAAGACCTCAGTGACCAAAAATTTCCTCTTTCGACTTGAAGTTCGACCATGAACCTCAGTGAGAATATTAGTTGCCTCATTATTTTGTCTTGTTTATTGATTGCTTCAATAAATTTCTTGTTGCTTCAATAAAGTATTTACTTCAAAATATTGATGTCTTGACATAATGGGCACTCATAAAGATTAGTAGTCCTAAGATAATTATGGACTCGAAATATTGATGATGAATGGTTACTTCAATGTAATTGTCGGTGTCTTGATATAATAAATATCTCAATGTATTGGTTGTCTTAATCTAATCGTTAATATTAGTTGCCTTAATGGAATAGTTGCCTTAAAATATTGTTTAATGGTTGTCTCAATATAATAATCGTCTCGAAACCTTGGTTAAGGTGAAACTTAAATGGAGGCCCGAATTTATCAGCCTTTTGAAAATTGATCTTGAAGTTGGGGGATGATTTTCGTCCCCTTTTGGTAAAGGGGAGACTTTTGGCGCAGAATATGCGACGGGTTGACAGTGTATTGAAGTTCTTTTTATTGGATGTTAAAAGTTACTCATACGGATAATGATGAACTGAAGATGGTATTGGAATTAGTCCAATGATGAGAGCCAAATGCAACGGGTTGGTTGCAATATTGTCCAATCGTAAGAAATGTGTTTGGGAGTGATGGTAGAATTATTGATTTTGAAAAAAAGTGATTTAAGTATAATTGGTTTTCCAAAATACCATCCAAGTGATATTTTAAAAATCAATTGATTTTAAGTTTTTATTTTTTATTTATTTATTTTTTAATTTGCAAACATGATCAACGGAAAGAGAAGTAATTTTGACAATGTTAAAATGATTTTAGCCATCCCAAACGCACCCTAAGTTCACTCAAACACCAATCCTTGACTGCAATAGTAAAAGATAGTATGTGCTTCACATTTTTCCTAATTTAATCCTTTGTTGCATGCTTTGTGTTGGTAGCATTTGTTTCCAGGTGCTTTTGGATGTTCGTGGACATAAGAATGTGTAAATAATTGATACTTAGTTAAATTAGTCTTTTTTTGTTTATAGATTTCAAATATTTATTTTGTAGATTGTGATTGAGGATAGGAGAACAAAATATTTGTATGAGAAGGTGGAGGGAGTCATCTTTTCTGAATGGTCTCATTGTTATCATTAGACTTAGAATGTACGATGATTTCCTTTTAATTGTATCCCTGTTTTTTTTTCCCTTTTTTTATTTTTTATTTTTATTATTGTTGTTGTTTATTATTATTATTATTATTATTATTTTTTTGTGGTTTCGAAAAGCTTATCATTGTGTGATAGTATAATCAATGGTACGTTTGAGATTGTATCTTATTGGGGTAAAATTGCCTTGTAATTGTTGAATGCGTATTTATGTAAGATGTTTATGCTAGATTGTAGTTTATAACTATATTTTTTATATACATATTTTCTCGTACTATCCATTTTCTTCCCACTGATTTTTAATCTCTTGAAGAATTGTCTGGCAAGTTCTTTAATTCATTAGCTTGTAATTGGTTTATTTTATAAATATCAATTAAGCTAACATTAATCATTTAGGAAGCGTTTTGAATTGGACTAAAAATGTTTAAAATACTTAGCATTTTTTAGTTTGTTGTGTTGTACTTTGTAAGATAATTTTTTAAATCTAGCCTAACATTTTAAAATTTTAAAGAGGAGTTTTCAAGACTTATTTATATTTTTGAAATTTAACTAATATTTTAAATGTCATTTTAAAAAAATATTGAAAATCTACCACAATTAACATCATCACGGTCCGAATATTGAACATGGAGTAAGGAGTGAATTGTGAGTTAGACCTTTTTGTGAATTGAGCGAGCTCCCCTTGCATGCAACAACGTAGTGGTGAATCTCTCATTCTCATTTAGTGCTTTTCGAACTGTACGGGAAAGTTTCCCATCACGCGACTCACCAACTTGATCTTCTGCGGGAATCGTATTTTCGAAACATAGAACATGTGTTTTTTATATATATATATATAAATATCTCTAGGGCATATATATACTTTTTCTTTTTTGAGAATAGAGCATATATATTCTTTAATCCTTATGCTTCATAGTCACTGTATTTTTTTTAAGTGACTTGGTCCTCCTTGCAAATTTATAACACATAATTTATACACAATAAAAATCGTTTAATACAGAGTTATGACTACATTTCAAAAAAATTAATTGACGATAGTGTGGTGTATTTAAATTTTGACTGAAACAAACGAAATGATTAAAATAACCACATTTTAAATATGTAGACCAAAACGAACTAAAATTGCACAATAATCAAAATATACGTTTTGAAAAAGATGAATCCAAAAATCACAAATATCACCTCATCTAAAATAATTACAGAGGTAAATGACATTATACCTCAAACTTCTATTCCGACAGACTATTTTTTAAAAGTCAGGTCGAATGAGTACTTTTTTACCAATTACTTCTAAGCTATGCTCGTTTTGACGGGTTAAATAAGTAACTAGTGATCAAATATAAATCTATGGTGCAGTTTATCCCAAAAAAAACCATAAACCTTTTATGTTCCCCATGTATATATTGAGACGACGTGTCGTACCATTATAGAACGAACGTGATCGTTTTGGGATTACTCGACCCGCGACCCGTTTCAACTGCGGGCATTTCACATCCTATCGAGTATCGAGTTCTTGGTCTCGACAGTCTTGGAATCGGAGTCTCTGCCACTGCACCATCGATGAAACAATGAACTCAGCTGCTGCAGCTGGAAGACGACTCTTTGAGGGAGTAGGTGATGGCCGGTTTTGTATCAACACTGAGAAATGGAAGCTATTTCTGGTGGTCGTTGCCGCACTATTGGCATCGTTGGCTTTCAAATCTAATGCATCGGAGACAATTGGAGAGTGGCAAATTCTTACCAAACATAATTTTTCTTCTCAGATCAGACTTCATCCGCATATTCTGCTTCTCGTCACACTGCCTTGTAAGCTTTCTATCATTCTCTGATGTTGTTTTATGGCAGAAGTAATCAACGTCGGTAGAGTAGATAGTTCTCTTTTGTTTTAATGAGATTCTGTCTGTATTTAAACGATACGCAATGTTTAGTTGATTAGGTGTTGTGATCATTTTTATTGCATTTGGACTGAAATTTTCGGGTTCGCGTTTCCCACTTTCCTGACCGTGTGACGGGGTTACAATCTGCGTATTCAACTTGAGCGATTGGTTGAAGTTCAAAAAGCATACAGAGGCTTCATTGTGCGACGTTGATGTATTTAAGTGGCAAGAAGAGTACTTTTGAAGAAATTTACTCTTCAGTTTACACATCAATGGTGTAAATTGGAGCTGAAAAATTTGGAAAAGATGTTGATAGTATTGGTTTGCTCATTTCAACGCCCAAATTCAAAACTCAAAAGTATAGGGATTGATTTGTTTACTACCTGGAATAGGACCTCCCTACCAACGAAGAAATCAAGCTCACTGCGGATTGATAGAAGGCTATTTGGGTTAAGGTGTTAAAATTCTTTTGTTCATCTTTAATCTCTTTCATAAAAGCAGTGAGTAGAGCAAAAGGTGAAGATGTGGAATAAGCCTTTAAAGCACCTCAAAGATCTAAGGTTCGGTTCCCTTAAGGGATTTTATTATGATGTGAAAGTTGAGACTGCTAATTTGAGAGATTCTGGTTTGTGATCAGAAAGCTTTCCAGTCTATGGCTGTGATTAGAAAGTTGTCTCATGTATCAAGATTCATGGGGTTCCATCTCAAAACCAATTGGCAATAAGAGAAGTAGCTCATGTCTATTATAAACCATTGTTAAGTCCCTTCTTTTATCAATGTGGGATCCTTAACATGCCCCCTCAAGATGGTGCCTCTTTTGGGTTCACCAATCTTGGATCGGATCCCATTTTGGACCGAATGCTCGTTTGAGCTTGTAGGCTCTGATACCATATCAAGATTTATGGGTTCCATTTCAAAACCAATTGACAATAAGAGGAGTAGCTCATGTCTATTATAAACCATTGTTAGGTCCCTTCTTTTATCAATGTGGGATCCTTAACATCATGAAGATTGGTATGAGAACCTGACTGCTCTGCTAGAGCTTTCAAGTCTCATGTGCTTTAAAACCCTGTCTTGTCAGAAAAAATCCACTTACTTTCTAAAGAAAAAGACCAAGCTTGATTTGTAGCCTGAAATGTTGGGTTAGATTCAGAACCGATGAGTTTAGATTTTAATGCTAGCACCAGGCAGCTCATGGAAAGTTTTTTTCATTCCCTAGAGGCTGGATTAAAGTTAGGAACCTACTTGTTTGTTAGCATGTGGATGACCTTTAGTTATTGTTTAGAGCAACATCTGATGAAGAAGGTAGCAAAGGAGGGGTGCATGGATGTTCAATTCCATGTTTGAGAGAAATTCTTTTTAAAATTACAATCATACGGACAGCAGTCTTTGGATATAAAGAGAAATGAAAAATTGGTACCTTGCAATTATGGTAGCATGGTGGAAAGGTTGGGGCAGGTGGCTTATTGTTTGCAGCTATCTCTGGTGGAAAATATTTGTCCTTTTTGTCATCTATCCCAACTGTGGCTATCTAAACGGACAATTTGAGACCTGTTCTGCCACCTCCACAACTCACTTTTGAGTTAGAATTCTAGCTGTGTGGGGTAAGGCATATGGTGGCTTCAGAGAAGGGTGAACGATAAGTCTTAATCCAGTGGGAAACTTAGTAAGTCCAAGAAGTTACATGTGAATCCTTTGAGCTAACACCTACCCAGTTTCCCTCATTTCACTTTGAGGATGAAGTTTGGGTAGAAGGTATTAATAGAGATTGAGGCCACCTGTACGCATTGCATATGTGGGGAGGAGAAAGTGAATGGTATAAGGGAGAAGGGCGAGTAGATAATGGTTTTGCATTGTCAATGGAAATTAACTTGGGCCTTTATGGTCCTTTTATTTGTAATACCATTTGTTGGGGATTTGTGGGAGTAAGCAAGGGAGTTGGTTAGGTGTTGTATATATGGGTAGGTGAATATGTATAAAGAGAAATGGTGAAAGGAGATGCTAGTCAAAACTGATTGAGCCGAAGGAAGCCTCCCCTTTTGATATTGGGATATTCTTCCATTTAGCCAATTTAGCCTGGATTTGTACACAACAAGAACCCAAAAGAAGCTGTTCCTAGGTGAACTGCCCAGCGCACATCCAAATAGTTGAAGGGTAAGCTGTCCAGCTATCCACCTTTCTTGCAAAACATTAGGTCTTTGAGAGATTCAAAGATAAACCTAAGGCTTTAAGGAGAAGGTGAAGAATTTTCCACCAACATCTTAAAGAAAACTCATCAGTTGGACTAAAGATAATTGTGTTGTGTCATTCGCATACACACACACACACACATCTATATATATATATACAATTATTTTTTTATTAAACGAAACTTTCATTTTGCAAATGAGAAATCTCCACTCTTTGGTCTCCTATGTCAAAATCTCCAAGCATGTCTCTGTCACGGCAAAAATGTAAGGGGGAGAGGGTCTCTGTCTCAGGCCAATTGAAGCAAAAAAGTTTCCTCTAGGTCTCCGAGACTCCGATAAAGGAAAATTGAAAATTTTACATTTCTTAAATCGTAGTGATGTAATTTAGGTGATACATAGTATATATATATATATTTTTAATTTTATATGTTGATGGATAGTCAATTATTCTTTTGCAGGGTCTGGTGAGTCACGAGCCCTAATGAGAGATATAGCACATCTGATTGAAAATAAAAAAGAAAGCTATAGTTCATTAAAGCTGATGTTCATGTACAGAAACACGGAGAAGATGTTAGTACATGCAATTGGTGCTACATCAGAGGAGACAAATGTTATTTTCTACCATCATTCTGTATCTTACAAGTATCAAGGGAGACTAACGGCCCAAAATATAGTATTCTCAATTTATCCATCCATGTCACTATTGCCTGAAGAACTCCCCTTTACGCTCTTGAATACCCCCGAGGACTTGAAGTCCTTCCTTGATTCAACTGATAGGGCCTTGCTTCTCATGGAATTTTGTGGATGGACCCCAAAATTGCTGTCCAAGGGGATAAAGAGTAATTTTACAGGTCTGTGATGTTACTACTGTCCTGTACCTCTTGTCACCGTCAGATTCCCTATTTCGTTTCTAAATGAGCAAAGTATGATTTGTTTTATTATTTTTTAATTCAATGGTGAATTAGCATTAGTGTCTTGTAGGACATTTCATTGGACTTATCACTTAGTTTATTTGTTATGAAAATAAATAACCTGCAAATGAGAGTTCGTCTATTGCTCATGCTTTGAAGGTAATGTTGGACATGGCTGACACCCGACAGTTTTTATGGTTGCGGTAGGGTCTATGCCAAAATGTTTTTATGCCAACAAAGTTTTGAAAATCAACTAATGTTATTTGTTGAGATAGTTCATGAAATTATGTGATTCAGGACAAAAGTACATAGATCACGTTTTCTGACTACATTTGGGTTCATCCCATTTATTTGCAGAAACAGTATTTTTCTTACCTGCTCCTGGAATCAACTTCGTGGTTTTTTTCCCCTGTTAAATTTATTTTGCACCTCTTTTCCCCATTTAAGCTGTTTTAGCTATTTGTCTGTAATGACATTCTTCATGAATGATACTGCCGCATCTTCTAGTTAGCTGAAAGAAAATTTTTATACTTGCTTGTGGTTGTTTTCGATAGCTACTCCTGGCGTTTCTCACTTTGTTTTTTGTATTTACAAGTATGAATATATATACAACATTTCGTTGCAGATGATCTTCTTGGAACAACTGATGAATGTGATAGAATTCAAACATCGAGAGGGAAGAATAACAGCAAGGTGGCTAGCTATTTTTATTTACCACTATGAGATTGGTTTTAGAATATAACAAGAAACAATTTCTTCCAACAAATTTCTCATCTCTTTCTTCTCTCCTGCGCTGCACCCTCTACTTCCGGAAAAAAACAGTCTTGGAACAAGAATACGGACATGATGTGTAGTATTGAAAAAGGATATGATGGAGTTCCTTGGCTTGGGGAGTTCAGTTCAGGAAATGAAACTTCTTTTACAGAGACTAAGTCTACAAATCATTCTTTTCCATCATCCTGCAATATTGAAGACTTCGAGCGGTACAACTCTTTCTTCACAAATTTATTAGCTGTTGCCAGAGAACTCTTCCTGCCCAGAGAGAAGCATGGGTTTGGTCTGATTTCCAATAGATTGATGCTTTCTTCTCTTGGAATTGAAGATTCGGATTCGTGGTTTGCAGCACTTCGTTTTGCTGGATGTCCCAGATGTTCAAAAATTCTGAGAGAAGGTGATGACCTTAAGCAAAATTTACAGATGAATAATTTCATTGTTTCAGAGGTAAGCTGATTTTCAAACATAGCTTTGTTGATCCAAATCATTTATGTTGTTCATTCCTCAACAACATTATTTTGCTTGTTACCAAAAGGGGGATATCAAAAGATACTCAAATGATAGCCCCTCAGCCTGGCCAATATTGCTTTATGGGTGATTGGTTTCTCTATGATGTACATCTAAATACACCACTGTGATATGAAATGACTCCACTAAGCTGCTTGTTGAATTTTTTTGTTTTGTTGCTTTTAATGTCTTAATATGTGTGTAGCCAAAGCGAGCATAGCTTAGTGGTAATTGTCATATATCTCCAACCAAAAGGTTGCGAGTTCGAATCCCCATCCCCACATGTTGTACTCGAAAAAAATGTGTGTCTGTGTGTTTTTTTCTTCTTCGGAATTTTAGGGCCTTATAATGGATCAGATAAGTGAATGCAAATGTTTGTGTGTTTAATGACTCTGAAACAATTGTGGGGGCTCCTGTCTTCTTAAGTACCAACATCTTATGACTATAGCTGCTTCTGAAAAATAATTATTTCATGTGTGTTTTACACTACCAATTTTTGGATACTTCTTTTATGTGAAGCCGATACTCCAAGACCTTTAGAATCTAGAAACAGAACTTCAAACATGAAACATTGGATTTGATATTTTGCTTTGTGATTGTCTTAGAAGATGAATAGAATCACCTTAAACAATAATTGAAGAACGAAAAAAAAGAACACCTTAAACACATCTAGCATTTGGAACAGTGTGATTCTTATTTGCATGCGTATTCAATAATCAAGCTTATATCTAAATAATCGGAAAAAAGGCCCTTGGCATCTGCCAGAATTGAAAGGAAAATGGAGTTCTAAATCTTGAAACAACCAATAATGGGACTCTTTCCTTTTATATAATTTTCTTTTTTTGGAATTTGTGTTAACATGTAGCTTGAAGTAGATGGGAGCAGTCAGCAGCCTGCTTTGCCAGTCAATAAGCCATCAATAATTCTATTTGTGGATAGATCATCCAACTCATCAGAATCTAGACGAGAAAGTAAGGTGGCTCTTGGTGACTTCAGAGAATTAGCACAGCAGTATTGCACTTCTTATCCAATAACTGAACCTTTGCTCCAAAAATATCCAATTATGAGAGGTACCTTGGAACCTCCCAGATTAAAGTTGTCTCCAGCATCTCGGTTGATTAAATTGGAGGATAAGATGTCTGCTGTCATGATTGTGAATGAGGGAAAACTTGTCACTTTGGATAAATTAACTTCAGAACTGCAAGGAAATTCATTGCCTCAGATCCTATCACTGCTTCAGAAAAAGGAGGCTAAGTTAAGCTCCCTCGCAAGGAATTTGGGGTTTCAGCTCTTATCTGATGATATTGATGTTAAATTAGCAAGTTCGTCGCCTGAGGTGACAGAAGTTCAACCTTTTGAAGTGTCACCAGAGATATCCCAGGAAGGCCCTGTGATACATAGTGTTCAACTGGATGAAGATCAGTCGAATAATGGCAGATGTGTGTCCGCCAAAGAGCATATGGAAGCTTCAGAATTCTGTACCGTTGAATCTTCTCCCCTGCAAGATAATGAGAAGAGAACTAGCATTCATACAGTTGAGGATCATGATTTTATACAGTCTGATGAATCAGCTCCCCACCAGAAATTAGATGTTGCTCAAAACATTAAAGTTGAAGAAAAATCTTCTTTAACAATGGAAACATCTTTGGATGAGAACCTCCACTTCCAAGGTTTTGAAGGTTCATTTTTCTTCTCTGATGGTAACTATCGATTACTTAAAGCTTTGACAGGTCAATCGAAGTCCCCAGCTTTGGTAATAGTTGATCCCCTTCTGCAGCAACATTATGTCTTTCCAGTAGAGAAAACATTAAGCTATTCTTCACAGGCCGATTTTTTAAGCAGTTTTCTCAATAGAAGCTTACTTCCATATCAACACTCTGAGTCTGTTATCAAGAGCCCTAGGGCAGCTGTTAGCCCACCATTTCTTAATTTGGATTTTCATGAGGTGGATTCTGTTCCTCGGGTTACAGCTCTTACTTTTTCCAAACTTGTTATTGGTTTCAACCAATCTGAATCCATAAATGAGTTCAATGCATATAGCAAGGATGTGTTGGTTCTGTTCAGCAATAGTTGGTGTGGCTTTTGCCAGAGAACCGAAGTAGTTGTTCGTGAAGTTTATCGTGCGATCCAGGGTTCTGTTAATATTCTGAAGAGTGGATGTGGAAAGGAAAAAAAAATGTTAAGTGGTAAGTGCTTCGTTGCTTGTCCTCAAAATTGTGTCAGGACTTTTGAAAGTGCTATTTTCTTTGTCTTCGTTGTCTTCTTTCTAATTTTCTTGAAATGCATCTGGGTATGGGAATTTTACAAATTGTCTTAAAATGATATTACTATTTCGCTCATTGATTTTCAATGGTTTTCATGACTTGCTAGATGCAAAGCTTATCTATTTTGAAATCTTAGTATATTAGTGTAATAAATTTTATAGACATGCTGGTTGATTTTTGGTGCTATAGAAAATGGTAGCAAAGTATTTTTTTTATCTGTTTAAATATTTGAATCAATTTTCGAATGGTCTACAGGACTAGTGTTTTTATTCACATTGCATTTCGCAGAAACTCAGACAGATCTACTATCAAAGCTTCCGCTTATCTACTTAATGGACTGCACACTGAACGATTGCAGTTCAATTTTAAAGTCAATTGATCAGGTGCGCTTTTCAGGATTGACATCTGTTTCTTTCCTGTCTGTAGAACTTTGTCTTTTATTTTCAATGCTTTTCTGCAATCAGTGATTTCTTTATTTTATCATGTTAACTGACTAGTCACAATTGACGAATCACTCCATGGTATGATATTGCAACAATATTATGTATCCTTTGGTAGAAAGGTTCTCATGACCGATCAATGGGATACTAATGGACAAGTTAACATTGTTACCATCAAACAAAATTCAAGCCAAGATATTTAAAATATTTTCGTAATTTTGCACTTTGGAAATTGTTCTCTGTAACTGACCAATTTTGTAGTTACTTCATTATTCAATTAATAGTTAACCTTTGTGTAAACTTGGAGCATGCAGAGAGAAGTATATCCTGCACTTTTGTTATTTCCAGCAGAAAGGAAGAAAGCTATAGTGTATGAAGGTGATCTAGCCGTAAACGATATTATTAAATTTGTGGCAGAACAAGGAAGTAATTCTCAACATCTTATCAATCAGAAGGGTAATTTCCAACTAAGATTTTCTATTACCCTTTATTGCTATTCTTACCACCTGTTGTCTTTTGTTTGCATTATGATGGTGTTGGTTCCTGTATCCGTTGGCTTGCTAGTTTATCCATGTTACATTTGTATGCTTCTACACTTATACCATAATATTCGGTCCTAAAATTTCCACATGTCTTGGACATAGAAGCCAAATTTCCGCTTGGATTAGTAACAATCATGTTTGATATTTTGCATGCTCCACTTCATTCTCTCTTTGAATGTGGCTGGTTCTGTTGCTTGAGAAATTTGGCTGTACAGAGTTTAAGATTAAATTGAAGTTGAGAGAATAACTTTTCTGTCTCGACTTTCACTGAAAAATTTACTGGACAGTGGCATGGTTTTAGACATTTGCCTGGGATGTCTTTTTGAGTTTATGCGAGGGATGTCCTCAGGAATGATTTTTAACTACAGAATTGAACTTGGAAGAAGACAGTCAATGTCAACATTTTGACTAGAATCTAATTTAGCTGGTTTTCTCATAGGAATTCTATGGACAGTGGGCGAAAACCGAATTGAACCCACCAAGTCATTTGAAGATGCAGGACCTACTCATCTTCAGGAAAAGGATGCTATTCTGAATGAAAAGTACCACGAAGTCCTAATGACAGACAGGAAAGTGGAAAGTGCTACAAGATTCAGTCACATAAACCTCCATATCGCAAACGGCGAGGATGATTTCGCACCTCCTATAACTGTTGGATCGATTTTAATCGCCACCGACAAGCTTGTTGGTTCACAGCCTTTTGCTAATTCTCAGATTCTGATTGTGAAGGCAGATCAAACCATTGGTTTCCATGGCCTGATAACCAACAAGCACATCAGATGGGATTCTCTCCAAGACTTAGCAGAAGGTTTAGACGTGCTAAACGAGGCGCCATTGTCTCTTGGGGGACCACTCATAAAACGCAAAACGCCTCTCTTGGCCTTAACTCAAAGAGTTTCTAAAGACCTGCATTTCGAAGTCCTACCGGGCATCTACTTCCTGGATCAGGTAGCTACAGTACAGGAAATAGAAGAGATCAAGTTAGGGAATCACTCAGTTACTGGATATTGGTTTTTCTTGGGTTATTCAAGTTGGGGTTGGGATCAGCTGTATGATGAAATTGCTGAAGGAGCTTGGAGATTATCCGACGATAGCACGAGTTACTTAGAATGGCCAGAAGTTTGACAACTTTTTGCTGCACCATAAGAGCTTTTAGAGCTAACAAAACAGGTCAGTGCACACAACTAATTCATACAAAATGAGACCATTTGATTTGCAAGATTGTCATGTTCATGATGTACAAATTTGGTGTGGCTGGATTTTTGTAAAATTGCTTTTGTAGGTAATTCATTCCCACAACCTAACCTCTATCCATGTTCCTTGAGTATAAGGGGGTTTTTGTTTTTAATTTTTTTCCATTTTAGAATCTTAATCAAGTTTCAAAACTTTAAAATATTCATTTGATTTAAAATTTAAAAAACAGTTTAAAAAAGTGGTTGTGTTGTGCCGAAGGTGAAATAAGAGAGGATGTGAAAGCATGTTGCTCTTGAATAGATTTGAAATGTAGGGTTTTTTTTTTTTTTTTAAATAAAATGTTTGGCTGCAGAAAGAGTTTTCGTATCAAATATCAGTCGTTGGTGTACAAATTTGATTATTCCTCAAAAGGTTAAAAAAAAAAAATTAATGAAATATTGAAAAATCGTTAAAAAAAAAGGTAAAAATACTATTTGGGTCATGTACCTTCAAAATTTAATTTTGGTCTTTATATTTTTAACTTTAATTCATTTTAGTTATTGTACTAAAAAAAATATTTTATATTTGTAAAATTTTGTCACAAATTTTATATGTAATTTATAAAGTAATGTTTTATATTTTAAGAAATACATCGAGTGTAATGTTGTGTTTAAATTGTGATAGAATAAATGAGATTAAAAGTACATTTAATAAATCAAAATAGTCAATAACCAAAATAAACATTTTAAAAATACAGAAATTTAAAATAAACCAAAGTTGAAAGTACATGAATTATTATAATCATTTTGAAAATTATGGACTACGATGAATTAAATTTAAAAGTGCCAAAGACTAAAATAATATTTTAGCTTTAAAAAAATAATTAAACTATGTTTTTTTTTTTTGTCTGAGTTTAATTTTATAGGTCACTTTGTTTTTGAAAGCTATAGTTCAGACTTTAGCCCATGATGTTACTTTCAACAAGTAGTTCAATTTGGTCCATGATGTGTCACTTTCAAACGACGGTTGTTGATTGGATAGGTTTTTATTATTCATTTTATAATGCCGATGTGGCAAAAATGATATATTTTATTTATTATTATTATTGCTGATGTGGCATTTAAAAAATAAAAGATATATAATTTTCTCCCTGTCCTCTCCCTCCCTTCCCATCTAAAGTTTCTTTACCCCAAAAGGAGGTACGAACAATGCTACCGGAAATAGTGATCGAAATTTAGTTGGAGTTGGTCGGAGAAGTAAAAAAAAAAAAGCTTTTTTTTTTCTTTTTCCTTTTTTGAAGTAAGGAAATACTCAGCTTGGTGATAGTAGATAGCCTTTTATGTGCTTTTTAAGAAGTGAGAGGAAGGAGAATTAATGGGTGGGTGTGCAATTGCATGTAAGAGTGAGAAAAAGATGAGATGAGAAATATACCTTTAACTATTGAACTACTTTTCTCAAAATCTTTATTGTTAATATAGAAATATTTAAATGTGAATATGTAAATGGCAACTGAAATATCAATTTGTCAAAGGGATATTTAGAATACATCGATGAAATTCGATAGTATCAATTTAAATATTAAATATAGTCCAACTAGTTAAGTTATATATCTTTAACTAAAAAGTTAGAAGTTCAAATCTACACCTTTAGTCAAATAAGGAAAAAAAAAACCTAAATATTTATCCAATCTCAAATAATAATAATAATTGTTTAATTATGTAGAAGTTTTTCAAGTAGAATATTAGTTGATTGGACTTTTACTAAAATTTTCATTAAGACTTTTTTTTCCATTAAATTAAAAGTTTGGACAATTTTTTTATAATAAGTTTGGATTCTTAAAAAAATGTGCTTTCGTTCTTTTTTAGTACAACAGGGCATGTGTTCAAATACATATACTTTTTTTTAATATAACATGTGAAGTAGGGGATCGAACTCACACCTTCTTGATTGAAATTATATGTCAATTACCCCATTGAGTTGGTTTCAGTTGGCTAAAAAAAAGTGTTTAACGGGTCCATATACATACATAGAGCTAAATTATAAGGATATAGAGTTAAAAAGTTGTATTTTAGAGAGTGAATAGTATAATGGGTCAAAAAGACTTATTAAACGCTGACGTGATAAATTTTTGAAGATATTTGACAATTTAGTGAATATAAATAGTAATCATTACTCTTCAAGAGAAGTTTTTGAAATATTTTAAATGAAATTTCATGTTATTCATAGTTTTGATCTAAAACATCCATCAAGATCATCATTTTTATTACATTATATATCTCCACCAAACATTCAGCTCTAACATCTCATCTTCCTATGGAAACATAGCATCAAAGAGGAAAATCTGATGATAAACCCATCAAGTTCAGCAGTTCAAACTACGACATTTCCAAATAATAACCACTAAGAAGCCTAGGAGGGTCAGACAAGCAGCAACTCAGATCATATATCAAACTTCAAAACCATCATTTTCTGGATGATTAGAGAGAGAGAATTAAGGAAGAAAACTCACCAAATATTTGAGCATGGAGTGGAGATTAGTTTTATTGTGGTTGATCCAATTCTGCATAAGTAGTTTCATGATGAGCTTGTTCAAGTTCAGCTTCTCTCACTTCCTTCTCAGTTTTCCTTCCTTTTTTGGACTTGTAGTATACAGTCATGAAGGTTCCTACAGCACCATACTTCTTCCGGCATTGCTCATACAGTCCACCATCAAACATTCTCCAGAAATCTTTCTCATTCAGTTCCGACACCGCGTATAGAGCCTGGAATCCATGGTTTTCTAGAAGCCATTTCTCTAATCCTCGGACAGCCTCCGAACCATCGAAAACTTCGCCCCTCAGGACGGGGCCTGGTGCATAGTACAGTCCAACATCTGTGTACATCTGCGCGTAGTGCGTGTCTCCCTGTCGACGATGAAACTCAAATCCTGGTTCCGGATATATCATGGTTTTGACTGGAAGCTTGAAGATTCTGTGTGGGCAGAGCCAAATGGGGTAAACCTGTGCAGAACACACAAACAAATTGCTGTTGTTAACCAAGTAAAACTTCATACTTCCATTGAAATCCACTTCTAAATTGTGAACGGCTCATCAGCCATTTCCCTATTACCACTGCCCCGCTCTTTATTTGTCCAATAGTCAAAAATAACAAGAGGTATATAAAAACAAACACTAAAAACATGCACATAAATAGTTAGAATGCAAAATCTTGCCCCTCCCATGAAAGTTTCTAGCTCCACACCTCCAGCAAATATATAAGAAAAACCAGAAGTTTTAAGGTGAAAAAATCAATACCTCCAACTCGCGATGAGCCCACTCCAAAGCATCCGGAACCTTGTAAAGAGGAACAAGCATATCTTGAATTACATGCATTTCGTGATAATAGTTTCTGATAGCTTCACCTTGAGTAGCTTTCAGCAGAGAAACTTTGGGAGGCATAAGCCATCCCATGAAAAACCTGAACCACCACTGATCTGCAAATGGAAGAATGAGCTTTCCCTCCCAATACAAAGACCTGGTGTGCCTATGATAGTACTCCCTTGTAGGAATATACTCCACAAACTCCCCTCTCTTCAGTGCCGTAGCTGCATGCTGGTAGAACCATGGTTTGAACCACCACCCGATATTATTGATCACATTTCCCCTTTTCTTAGCCTCCACTTTAGAAGCATATCTACCTGACATGATCACAGCTTCCGAAGGAGTATAAACCATAGTTTCTACAAAATCAGGAACCTTCTCTGGATTGTCTTGATCTCCATCTCTAGGTGCGAGAGAATCCATGTAAGCCTGTCCTATATCTCTTAAAGTGCCTATGTATGGTTTATATGTAACTCTCATATACTCTTTAATTGGTATAAGCTTGATCTCGGCAGCGACTAGAAGGCCAATTGTCCCCTGGGACCATGGGATTGCATAGAAAAGATCCGAGTACTTGTTATCTTTGGTAGCTCTGACAACCCGGCCGTCTGCTAGGACAATCTCATATGCGACAACCGTGTCGGAGAACAAGCCGTAGAGATGGGAGCTTCCTTCTATACCATAGCCATTGATGAGTCCCCCGACAGTAAGATCATCAAGTTCAGCAACCACGGCTAGAGAGAGATTCAGTGGAACAGTGGCTCTACTTATTTGGCCCATGTTCACAAGGGGCTCAACTTTGGCAATCATTCTTTGTTGGTCAATTTCCAGAATGTTTCGGAAGGCTGATAGATCAACCTCGAAGTGGCGTGCCCGTTTATAGTCAACATTTCTCATTCCAACTGCGATCCAGGGCTTTCGAGCTGTGCAAACTAGGCCATCCTTGGCTGGGTTCCTCTGTTTCAGGCGCTTCACAACTTTCTTGACATTTTCATCGTGTTGCTTCTGGCGTTTCTTGTAGGACTTCCAAGCAGATCTGACGTCTCCAAGATATGTGAAGAAGTATAGGCTGAATGATATGGGAAGAACAACAAAAACAACTAAAATCCATCTAAATTGGACGAAGTAGTCCACCCAGACCTTCTTCCTCTTTCGGCGCAGAGGAGTCTGTAGATCTGACATAGTGCTACCAGATTATATCCTCCTCCTGTAACCGATGAAGACTAAAAAATGGTCAGAAGAAATTTCCAAGTTGGCACTTAGAATAAGAAGGATAGCAAACGATCTGGAAAAATTAACACGTTTCCCTTCTTCGTCAGAGAATGACATCCACAAAAAGACTATACACCACTACCGAGAAAATTGACAAAGTCGTCACGAATTACCATCTCTAAACAGCCGAAGAAACAGAAACGAAAGGGAAGAATATTCCAGGCTCCAGCATTTTCAGAGGAATGAAAGCTCATCTGTTTAATTGTGCACAGATGCATGCGCGTGCAGCAATAATAATAAGAAGAGTTGGATACAAATACAGAATCCAACATCCTAATATTTTTTTCCCAAGGCAGCAAAGGAATGATAAATTAAGGAGACAGCCAAATTCCGTCGTGGAATGGTAGCCGGCTTACAAAAAAAAGGAATATAAATTGGAGATAAGATTTAGAGAGGTACTTGTTAGTTAGTTGAAGATCTAAACCAGATAGAATTAAATGACCAGGAAATCTTAGCTCCAATTAAAACTTTCAAACTCTGCATCGTAATTAAAGTGGATCCTAGAATTTCTTGCTCACTCATTTTCCCATCAACCAAACAGAGGACAAACAGAGAAAGCACGAAAACGAAGGAATAAAATGCTGCATGGATAGAAACTCATTTTTCTCAGCATAAAACAGTAGTTTCCGCCAAAAATTAAACAAAAAAGGCCAAAAAGTACGACACTCGGAAGAAACACCGGAAACTTCTGCAATCGCAGGGAGAGAGAGAGAGAGAAAGAAAGAGAGATAACCTGCGAAGAACAAAAGTGAAGCAAACGAACCGATAGATCGGAACCGTATCAAAGGTCGAGCTAACAAGTGGAAGCATGAACATGAGAAATTAAAGCGACAGCACTTGATTGGCAAGATTACACTACTTAGAACCAACAATCGTACCTAAGAAGTCTTGTCCTCAATTATTTTCCCACTCCAAAAGGAAGCAAAGCAAACATACAAGTCAAGAAATCCAAAGCAGACAAAGCCGAAGAAATTCATGTACTAAAATCATATCCGAGTTTCACTTTCCTTTTTCAGTCGACGAAAGTCCAAAATGCATCGTTCATTTCCAAATAAAAAATTGAAAAAAATGGAAACAGAGAGAACAAAAGCTACAAAATCGAAATGATGACTCGTAGAAGTTATAGTAATCATACTTCTCGAAAGAAGAGACAGGCGGAAGAGCTTTCGGAAAAGCAGGAAGATGAGATTGAGAGGGAAAATGCAAAGAACAGACAATCTCCGGAGCATGGACGATAATGAGGTTCTCGATTAGGGAGTACCTGAAGCTGCGAAAATGCGACGGCGGCGGCGGCGGAGGAGCGATCACAGAAGAGTGAAGGAAGTGAGTGAGATGGAGTGGTATGGGGGAACTTATAAGGTCGCGACGTCTTCTTTGGCGCGCTCTTCTTTCTCTCTCTTCCCTGCCCCATCGAATCATGACTGCCGCTGTCTTCATTATATCTTGCAACAAAATTATACCAAATTTAATTTAAAAAGAGAAAAACAAAAGTAAGTAAATAAATTATAAATTAAAGTGAAGAAAAAATACATTTTTATTTGGAATTGGTGTCATTTTTTGTTGAAGTTTCAAAAGTCATTTTTAGTCCTAGAGATTTGGAAATTGTAAACTAGTTTTAAGTGGGTGTTCTTTAAAGCTGATTTGATATTTTGGTAGAGTAATAGAAAAGTGACGTGGTGTTTTCATTTTTTTTTTAACTGTATTTGTTGATTTGATAAAATATATTCGTTTAACTTTTATTTTTGGTGATCGGACTTCAGCTTCAAGCCTTCAAGGGGACTACGAAGGAGGAAGAAGTGACAGGTAAAGTATAGTGAAAAAAAAAATTAACTAATATATTTTGTAAAACCAGTAAATATAGTCGGCCACTAACCACGACATTTCTTTTTGTTGGTCAACTAAAGGTTAAATGTTTAGAAAAGAACTGAAAGTGTTGTTTTGAAATCTCGAGCACTACAATAGACACTAAATCTAAATCGGACCAAAAGTGTTATATAACTAAAATTAAAAAATCGATGTATATATTTTTTTAGTACAACAAATGTTTGTAGTTTTAACTTTCAACCTTGATTAAACTAATTGGTGTTTTATCTATTCAACTAACACGAGGGGCAAAATTGAAACTAATCATATATATATATATTAGGAACCTTTTGTATAAATTAAATTTTTAATAATAATAGGTTATAAATGTGGGGAAAATATTTGGAATGAAAAGAAATGTACAATGTCTAATCAAATCAGCTATAATTAACAGCAAATTTTATAGTAATCATCTATTGTCTAGATTCCGTTCACCCTATAAAATTTTATTTCTCAAATAATTATTTAATATTATTCAACCTTACATTATTTTTAACACTAGCCAAGGATTTTTAGCTCAACTTTTTCAACATTTCAATTATTTTTTTCCTTTTATTTTCCCAACAAGTACGACAAATATATCAAAACGAGCCTGGTTCAACGATTATTGTTATATACTTTCAGAGATTGTGCGTTTGATCCACGCTCCCATATGTTGTACTAAAAAATAAAATCAAGTACGACGAATATCCTCTACATACATAAATAGTGCACATAAAATCATGTGATAATATTAATTACTAATATGGATTCGAGTTTAAGAAAAAAGATGCGAATATAACTTAACTGAAGAAGTCATTATCTTAGCTTTAAAATTTTCGACTCTTGTTGAACTAATATAGAGAGGAGGATGCAGACAGAAAAAACAAAATCAACATGAATTTATAAAATATGAAGAGAGGGAGAGAAATAAAAACAAAATTAAAGTTGTTTGTATTGTATTTATTAATGTTGTTGTTATTATTATTATTATTATCATTAGAACTTTAAATAATATGAAGTTTTACTTCTTAGGGAGAGTGAGAAAAAAAAAATTCTTTTCTTTTTTCAGAAAGTAGGCAGCCATGCCCATCATTCAACTCACTGATGTTACCCATCAATTCATAAGATTATTATGCAGATACCACCAATACTAAAAACAAAATAAATAAATAAGTCTAGTACTTTTTAGTTTTATGTATATAAAATTTTATTTTTGGCTATCCATAATTTCTGTCTCTTTCAATATTTAAAATAGATAAAAATATCAATGTCTCAATTTTACGAAAATACTAATTAAATCGACGGTGATAGATATTTTATGAAAAAATTGTAAAATTAGATTTATTTCATACAAATATCTAAGCCATTCATAATTTTTAATTAAGTAAGTTAAAAATACTTATTATTAATATATTCATTAGTGATATTTTGTTGATATATGTTTTTTATATTGACGACTTTTTTGCGATGCTACCAAAATGTCAACGTCGAATTCATAGATATATGAAAATATCGACATATTGACAAAATTTTAACAAATGCTTTTACCTTCTTAAAATACATATTTGAATTCATAGTTGCACATTTTAAACAAATAAAAACAAAATTTTGAACCAAGGTGCTGTTGGCTGTTGTTATTCATTTTATTTTGATATTCTATTTTTTAAATTATGCTAGGTATTTCACCATTTTTATTTTTATTTTTAATATTTTCAAACATATTTGAATTATTAGTTAAATTTCAAAACTAAATACATGTTCTTAAAAGTTACTTTACTTTTTTTAGTTTTGAAATTTTAACTTAGATTTTTGAAATGTTTTAAAAAAAGTGCGTATAGCAAAATAAATAAATAAAATGAATGTAGCATAAAAAAAATCTATTTTTAGTTTTGTCAATTTTAGTATTAAATTATTTTAAAAAATTCAAATGAAACTCTCCATTCAATATGTGAAATCGAAATGCATGTTGTGTGATAGTTTGATTCTAAGTAAATGAGAAGTCTTTAAGACACTTTAAATTTAAATAAATAGTGTAATTACTACCTTAAAATAGCTAAACTTGCCAATTCTTTTATATAAAGATTCGTGAGTCTCGTAGATAGCGGGTAATAGTTTGGTAAGAATTGATTCTTTCCGTCATGTTTTCTAGCTCGACTCATAATTTTTATTGTTAAGTTTGAACTAAAGTTTTAAATGTTGATATTGATAAAAATATGAAAGTCTCAATTGTATGAAAATATTAATAAAATATTGATATCGATATTGATGGATATCTAAAAAGTTGATTAAAAAACATTTAAAATAACAAATCAACGTTTCAATCTTTTTAAATAAGTTAAATTTTGTTAATATTAATATTATGTTCATACTAGAGATATTTTGTTGATACTTTTACTATTTTATCAAGAATTTTACGGTACTATGAAAATGTCGATTAACACATTATGTCGATATCGAACCTATTGACATATAGGAACTTGGATGAAAATGTCGCCGATAAAAATTTAATATCCTGATTTGAACACTCTCTTACCTATTTAATTTTATTGTAGGTTTAAGTATTTTCATGGTTTTATTCGGGCATTTTATAAATTGATCTTGAGTGGTTAGTTGAATTTCATTGGATTTGTTAGTTTATTTTTTATTTAATTTTGAAAGGTATTAATTACATTACTTCTAAAGTAGAATTTCTTGATTAATAAATAGATTTAAATATAATTTTTGGCGTTAAAATTTACCTTCATTTTCAATTTAATTGCAAAAAATTTAAAAGTTATATTTAGCCTCCCAAAGTTTAGTTAATTCTAAATTTAGTGTTTATTTTTAAAATTTGAGTAAGAATGTGTTAAATACGCATTATTTGAGAAAAGACCGTAGAATTGAGAAAATAAGGGGAAAAAAAGAGTGGGGGTAACTTGTCACTTTCTTCATTAAAGATTTTAATTACAATAATTGAATCTAAACTTTATTAGCCTAATCTCAATTTTAATCTTTCTAATCTCGAATTCCATCCCTCCATGGGTACTAAAAGAAAAACGTAAAATTTATTAAAACTTAAGAAATTAGAATAGACTTGTTTTGGAATTTTAGGGATCAATATAAAAATATGAATTAAAATTTTGAGGACTAAAATTATATTTTAAATTTATAACCTAATAAATAAAAAGGAAACATTTGGATGACATAATGTCATTTTTTTAATACAATATGGGGTGGAGGATTCAAATGCAACTTTAACTCATTGAGTTATGCTCACAAATCTATAACGAATTAATTGTGTTATTGGAATTTTTTTTTAATACTTCTTTGTTATATATATAATTTCACGATTGGAAAGAAATCAATATTGTTGGATATTGGGAAATCAGGACCTAATTATATATTTCCAACTCATATAACAAAAAAAAAATGTAGACTTTTCGTTCCTAACCTAGCCTTCCATATTTTCTAACCAGTGAAAAAAAAGATACATATATATTTAATTTATTGAAACTTTTTTTTAACAAATTTATTGAAACTGATATTTCGTATTTAAGAATCAATTTCTCATTCACAATCACCATAAGAAAAATTAATTTAGATATAAAAAAAATTTTAAAAAGAAAATACTTAAATGCTTCCGTGTCATCACTCATCCCTTGCTAAATACTATTCATAAATGTATAAATGGGATATATGTTTTTTTATGGTTTTTCTATATAAACATTTGTCAAATTTTTAGAGGCATTCGTAAGGGAGATGCATGTTTAACCAATTGAGTTATTCTCAAGTTGGCGGATGTATTTCCTTTTTACCTTTAAATTTTGTGATGAATTTAAATATATTGTAAGTTCACCATAAAAAAATAATGGTCAGATCTTATGCATCCATCGTGGTTAATTTTCCATTGAAATTAGCAAGTTGAGGAAAATTTTTGGGAATGCAGTAAAAATTGAACAAGGTAAATCGGTTCAATTTGAGTGAAAATTGAAATATATGGACTTTTTTTTTTTCCATTAACGTAGCATATATATATATATATATATATATATATATATATATAAATGGATGATAAAAAAATCGAGAATTAATTATAAAGTCAATTAGTTAGCTAATGAGATTAATTCTAATTAACGAGGTTTTCTTTTTATTGTTTAGTTAATCAAACTAAACAATATTCATGATTAGGTACTGTTCCTAGCCTTTCGATTCTTCAAACACGTAACAATTAATTGCATGCAATAATTAAATTTCCCATTTAACTAGTGTTAATTATCATTAAATTATACTTTCCAAATTCATAATTATCATTAAATTATACTTCCACTTATTTTCTATATAATTGAATCTCTTTCCCATCAAATGAACTTGTGTTCTGATATATAAAAAATAAAAATAAAAAAAAAATAAAAAAAATAAAAAGAGAGAGAGAGAGAACTTGTGTTGAGTTAATGTTGTACTTACTTTTGTGGCTAGAATGGTAGTTTGACTCTAATACTCTAAAAAGTGCTTTTAAGTACTTTTCGGTCAACAGCACTCTACAATTGCTCTGTCACGAGAACCTTTGAATTATTTCCAAATAAGATAACTGTGTGTGAAGTGCTTTTCGCCATGACCGAAAATATTCCTAAACAAGAAAATTATAGTACCATGGCCTGTCCACACTAAGAATTTTCTTTCTAAATAATTACCTCGCATCGTTTTTACATGGTGCAGACGTGCAAATAACAAATAGTAGTATCATACCCTCGTAATATTGAAAATCTTTCCGCCTAAACATACACCAAATGAGAAACACTTCAAAAGTATTCAGTAGTTCAACATGTGTAGGTGAGAAACATATAAATCAATTAAATTATGTTCTGATTGGTACTTCAAAAGCACTTTTAAAGACTACGTAGAACCACCGAACCTAAAATAGGTCATTATGAAGCATTTATGACTAAAGTATTTAATAACCTTTAAAAGTACTTTTTGCTAAAAGTCCTCTAAAACAGTAAACTAATAATTTAGGAGAGATTTAGAGAGTTTGGCCTAAAAAAATACCTCAAAACTTTGGGAAATAGAAAACTAAAAGAAAAAGAAAAGAACATGGAGAGGGGGTCCAAACTCCAAGCTGAAAAGGAAAAAGAAGGGACGTGGAGCCGTGCAGGTGCAGTGTGTCAGAGGGGAAAAAAGGTACTGGTTTTTGCCTTTCAGCTCGTGAAGCCAAAACCAAAAGTGAAACTAAGCTGTGGACTAGGACTTCAACTTTCTTTCAAGGAAAGAAAGAGAGTTTTGTGGAAGTAAATGGGCCATCATGCACGTGGGTGTAACTAAGAAGCATGCACACAAATGAGAGGCAAAAGCAGTGTCTACACCTCATATATCAAATAAAAATCATAATTATGTATCCCATCCCACTGTTTTCTTTTTGGAAACAAATTGATCACCACCACCTACTGGAAATTAATTCCCTTGCTAATAATTTGCAGCTCACGTGTTGGCACATGAACCAACGAAAAAAACCCACAGAAACACAGAGAGAGAGAGAGATTTACTGTTTATGGTGCTTCACCACCAGGACCAGGTCGGGCATTTAACAGAGGCTGCAGAGCTTTGACTACAATACTCATGTTTGGCCTGAAATCTGCCTCGTATTGAACGCACAATGCTGCAACGGCCGCAAACTGCAATAAAAATCACAGAAAGGGACCTCAAGATTTTATTATATAATATAAAACATTCTGCAGAAAAGATCTGAACATTTCTGTCTGATATAAAAGAGAGAGAGAGATTATTTCTCAGAAAAATAGCATCCCAAATTCCCAATTGTCCCTGCTGTGCATACCACCACCGGTCACCACCAATAAAAATTTGAAAAAAAGAAAATTTTATATCTTTTCAGCATTTTTCTCTCCTTACAAAAAATTGAATGGTGGTCAGCATTTTTTCTTTCTTGTTTCTCTTTTTCACTCTGTTCATTGTGTCTAATGAAATCGCAAAAAATAGCATCCCAATTTTTGCTCAAATTGAAAGCTACCGGTTTTTATTATTTATCCTTTTAACCATGTTGGTGAACTTTTAACTTTGTGGCTGTCCACTTCTCTTCTCTTCCCCTAAGATGGAGGATGGTTCTAAAAAGAACCGAAGGGATTCTTACACGGGCAAGCACTCAGAGAGAGAGAGGAGAGATAATATCACCAAAGAAGAAAATAAAAGGATGGGTACCTTAGCAACTGCCTTGGGAGGGTACTCATCTCCTAGTTTTGCATCAACACACTGCCTGACTTTATCCTCGCAAAGTTTGGGCGTTGCCTGAAAACGTTTTAAAAACATACTGAACTCAAGCTCAGAAGGTGGATAAAAGGAGGAAGAAAAGAAGAGTAGCGCAAAAATGTACCCATGTCACGAGGCTTTGCTGTCCTCGAGGTAATGTATGATCAACTGGCTTTCTTCCTGTCAAAAGTTCAAGCAGGACAACACCAAAACTGTACACATCACTCTTGGCATTCAATTGTCCAGTCATTGCGTACCTGTAAATTTCAAAATGGGAAACGACCCACAACACATTAGCTTATAGTTATTGTTAATGGTATATTATAGTTATGTAGTAATGCTTTCCATTGAATCTTGGAAGAAGTATGGAGAAGGAATTGAGGAACCCGCAACTTTCATTAGATGGTATCAACAAATGATATAAAGTGTTTGATCTTTTCTATAGTTATTTCTCCCTTTTTTTCCCCTAAAGATCTTCTACAGTTACCAAGTTACCAATGACGTCTGTGAAGTTGTTGTATGAGTTATCAAAGTGATTCAGAAGTTGGATAGCTGAGCCGGAGTTAGTTATGAAATATTAAGCTCACCAATTGGTCGGTTTGGTTGTATTATTGTATAAGAATAATACTTTAACTAGCAGGTAGTTGAGATACTCTTCCTTCTCGGTTACTTCCCTGTCTTTATTTAATAAATACCATCTGTATTATTCTTTAGTGAATTAACGAATCAGTTGTGGTGTTTACAGTAGCCACGTGGGCCATGATCAACAACGTCGGACCACTTAGGCCCGTTTGATAACCATTTCATTTTTTATTTCCTGTTTGAAAAAATGAAGCTAAACATTACTTTCACCTGGTTTTTTGTTTTGTTATATAGTTTTTAGGTTTTGTTATATAGCTTTTATAAACATATTTTCAAAATCTAGGCAAATCTGGAAAGAAAAAAATAAAGTTTTTGAAAACTTATTTTTGTTTTTTAAATTTAGCTAAGAATTCAAATATGTTTTCAAGAGAGGTAAAAAATTAACCCATGAAATTGTAGTAAAAAAAAAAGCATAAATTAAAATTTAAAAAAAACGAAAGGGTTATCAAACGACAACTTAGCACTTCTTTTTCCATTTTCATTTTTCTTTTATTTGTTACTTGTTAGCTGTGATTTTGTGTGTGCATTCGACTGAAAAAAAAATACAGCAGTCATTTATGGAGCCTAAAATGCTAGTGCTTGAAAGGGAAAAAATAATCTAGACATGGGAAAACATCTGAAATCACCCTAAAGAAATATTAGAATCAACTTACTCGGGAGCATGATAACCAAAGGTTCCAAGAACACGAGTGGAATGAAGCCGTGCAGCCATATCAGGGGCTTGGTTTGACAAATCAAAGTCAGCAATTTTTGCAACATCATCATCAAATATTAGAACGTTGCTCAATTTTATGTCCCGATGGATGATATGAGGATCAGCCTTTTCATGTAAATACTCCAACCCCTTTGCAGCCCCTACAGCAATTTTTACTCTCTGTGCCCAGGAAAGAACAGGACCAGGCTGTGCTCCTTTGACTCCTTTCCTCCCTGCATTAGAATCATGTCATGAAAATTTCAATCAACCTCCAAAGCATTGATCAGTATACAACAACAGAGAACATGCAACCTCAAATTGCTCTCCGTTGCATAGGCAAGCATACGAACTATTGCAGTCTAAGATTAATCTTATGTACCGTGTAAAATGTCGTGAAGAGATCCACTTGAAGCATACTCATATGCAAGAATTCGAGAATTGCCATCAACACAGTACCCAATCAAATTTAGAAAATTATTGTGCTTTAGTCTTGAAACCATGGAAACCTATAAGTTTGAAAAATTAGTCAAAATATATAGTGACAGCCATTTTAAAGAACATTACAACATGAATAACTGTAGACAATCAAACCTGGGATAAGAATTCATCATCAGGTTGTTTGCTGGAATCTAACTTTTTGATTGCCACAGACTGCCCATTTGTAAATACCCCATAGTATACTCTACCGTAGGAACCCTCTCCAATCAAACTGTCTGCATCAAAATTTTTTGTAACCTCCTTTAGTTCCTGAAATGATATGGCAGGGACCTCAATTGGCCGCATTTTCACTATTGGAGGACTCTTAGGTGCAGCTTGCCATTTGTGATAGCTTTCATCAGTTCCTACATGACAGAGCTTTGCTTATTTACTATTTGATAAATTCGATTACATTAATAGACAACAGGAACAGAGTTATAATAGGATTCTGAACTTTGTGCACACGCACAAACAAGCAAGTGCAAATAGAATCACACATATTATAGTCAGCATTAAATGGCATAGAGATAAAGCTACAAAAGGAGCATTTATAAATTCTGGTGATAATATTTTCAAACATACATAACATTTTGCATTTATGATATGAGGATATATCATCCTCGCTATGGTTGATATCTATTGCATCATTACGTTTACCTAATGAACTTTTAACTGGGTACATTCTGCTGTCATCAGCGGCCTTCTGGATAGCATCTTCTTCGCAGCAACCAAAGCATCCCATTGTTTTCTTCACTCACGGATGCCCCAACTGAAGCCAAAAATAGTAGGTTAATAAAAATCACCCATTACTTTCTCTTCGTCGTCTTACAACTTACAAGTGTTTACTTTTTAAGTAACATAAAAACAAAAAATGTGCCACTGTTGCTAGAACAAGTGATTAAACCTTACAAACGAAAGGCATTATCGACTGTCACATTGTCAGAATGTATTCAAGAAGAAGTATTTAACCAGAAATGTATCCAACTTCAAACACAAGCTCAAAAATAGAGAACGGGAAATTAAACAAATACGAATTTTCAAAAATTAATCAACATTCCTGTTCCTAGTTACATAAAATGAGCAAGTTAAACAAACAAATGGACAGAGGGGGCGAGGATCATATCAAGAGCTCGAACAAACGCCTTACGTACATGCAGTTCACCAAAATGCTCGTTATCAAGATCAATAGAATAAGGACCGGATAACAAGGCAGATACCATACCACTTCGTCGATCACAACCTAAAACTCTGAGATTCTCACTAATAGCAAATTGAGCTCAATTTTCCAGACCTATTAAACTAAGATACTCAACATCATGCATGTTATTTAACACCTTGGAAAAACATCATCAGTTCAACTGGAAGCTAAAAATTACAAAATCTCGATTCATACCGTTAATCAGATATCAAATTCTACGGGAACAGTACCTCAACGCTTGAATCAGAGTAACGACAGGATTGCCTTCGCGTTCGGTGCGGAGACTAAAATATATAATCAGAAACCTCGAAGCAGCCGACTGCTGCGAGCAGAACGGAGTCGTCGAGATTTCCTTGACTTGACTTCGTTCAACTCCGTCGGTCGTCTCCTACCTCCGATCAACTTTCCGGCGACCGTAGCTTCCTCCGTCGCCTCCCGTCTGTAATATGCATTCACAGACAGCCATTACGTTTCATCTCCGTCCATTTATTCCCTGACAGTAACCGAAATTGAAGAAAGACTTTGGGGGCAACGACTCGAAGATAAAAATAAAATAAAATAAAATTTGAGCCTCCACCCGAACTACGAATCGCAGCCGTTGATCTTTGATCAAGTTTGACCGTCAGATTCCAAAAGATCGACGGATGAGGAAGGTTTGGATGGTGCAAGTTGGCGGTGGGAGAGCTGTAGTTGACCAAGGATAGGGAAAACGACAAGTCGGCTCAACTGGAATTATTATTTTAATAGCTTATGGCATTTTTAATTAACTTTTTTATTGATGAAAAAGTGCTGGTAAGCCGATAAAAATAATAAAGGAATATTCTAAAATGGAAGTTGATGAAATATGATGGATGATTATCTATAATTATATTGTTATTAAGAATATGGGTCAAATAAAGTGATGTAGACAAACAAATTGAGTTAATTTATTAACAATTTGTTTGTTAAATTATTATTTTTTACTTTATTTAATATTATACCTATTTCAAAATAAAAAAATGTACTTTTGAAATTTATCCCCCTGGTCCACTCAACTTGACGTTTAAAAAAACAATAATTATAAACTTCAATTAATATTATAATTTTTGTACTTTTGTTACTTATTTGTATTCATGTAACTTCATTACTCCTTTTTTTAAGAGCTGTAACTTCATTACGTTAAACTTGTCTTTTAATTTTAATAAATAAAATTGTAATGGAAAGTTAATGTCACGTCACATTAAAAATAATATAAAAATTTAAATTGATAAGTTATTTATTTTCAAAGTATTTCATTCCTAAAATGACCCTTATCAAACTTCAACATGATTTTAATTTTTAGGTCAACTTTCTAATTATCATTATGTTAAGCTTACAAAGATGAATGGGAATAAATAAAACAAATTAAATTAAAAAGTATGCCAAGCAGAATTATAAATTATAAATTATAGTCCACTTGCCTCAGTTAGGGCTCCGTTCGCATGCCATTGATATGGGCCATACAGCCCAATATTGCCTGGCGGGCCGGCCCATATATAGTTCATAGAGACGGCATGAAATTGCTCATGGCTATTTTTTTTCTGAATAATAATAATAATAATAATATTATGTATTTATTTAAGAGATAATGTCTTGTATATGGGCTATCAATTTACTAATCCTTTCATTTAAACGGTGGACCAGAATTATAAATTGAAACCATGCACGACTACCAAGAAATTGAGGCTATAATTGTCACTAGGCATTGTCATATCATGTCAAGAAAAAAGGGTTCGTGGAAGGAAAAAAAATAGTATCGTATAAATTCCTGAAAGTTAATTTCATATCAAGTTATTTGTTATTTGTCATAAAAAATTTAATTCCATATCAAGTTATTTGTTATTTGTGATCAAATGTTTTATCATCTTCTGTAAACATAGCGTTGCTGAACAACACAAAAAATTAAGTAATATGTCACTACTCTAGAAAGAAGAATAGATGTCACTCACAATATTTATTTTTATCTAAAATAAAATTTACATTTGGTTGATATTTACCCAACAGATAATGTGCGAGTAAATGCAAAATCCATAATACAGAGCACGAATTCCCCACAGAAAGACGATGACTTATTTGATAGATATAATATAGAAACTATATGTCTTTTTCAAGATATTTGCGGTTATCAAGATAATAGAATTTTTTAAAATATTATATATACTCTAGAGATGGATAATAACGGAGATACTTTGCATATTTCTAGTAAATGTAGGTTCAAATTTCCTCCCATTATTTATGATGTAGCGTTTAAAATAAATAAGATATTTATATAACTATTATTTGATTTAATTGTCACTTAATGACAAATAGAGGTCATGAATAGAATTTGGACAATATAATATGTCATTTACATAGTAACAAACCAAAACAATATGATTTTTGTTTTTGGCAAGTTCTCTTGAACCACACCTTTTAGTCGTTGAGCTTTCAACTCTCAAATTTAACGAGGCTTCCAGACATAAGTTCAGATTCTTTAATTTTGCAAAGGTGAAAAAAAAGTAACCTCAGTAAATTATTTCTTGACTAGATAAAAGTTTAATTACATGAATTTGAATAAGTAGTTAAAGTAGTGATTTAGCGAATAAAGAAAATCAAAATGTGAACACTACTATAATGACACATCTAAGGAAAAACAAATTTCTAAAAATGATTGAACGAGCCTTGTGATAAATTGGTAACGTCACAACATTTCCAAAAGCTTGAGTTGGTATATTTGTAATCAATTTTAATTAATTACTTAGGTTTATTAATTGGATTAGTTAGAGATCGTTTATCATTAATTCCATTCCCAAGATTACAGCCCCACAAAATCATCATTAAATAAAGAAGAAGAAGAAGAAGAAGAAGGCTTCAACAAAATGCTTCTTTCATTTCATCGATAGTATTTAGAATTATAAAAATATTACAAGAAATTTAAACTACGAAAAGGAAATAGAACAAATATAATTTCTTTAGAACATAAAAGCAGCAGAAGAAAGATAGATACGAAAATCATTCAATAAGTAACAAACAGCGCAGATATTGAATTGTAAGAAATTAGACCAACCGGATATCTCTCCTTTAAGATTGAGGCTTCTCCCACTTGAGTGGCTTGACAATCTCCCAGGTGAAGTCTGCGTCGTCCCTTCCGAAATGTCCATAAGCGGCTGTCTTCAAGAATCTGCCATTGCCACCCCTCTTCAGATCAAGGTTGATGGTGATCATTCCAGGCCTGAAGTCGAAGTTCTCCTTCACGATTTGAAGTATATCCTTGTCCGGGATCTTCCCGGTTCCGTATGAGTCGACGAAGACCGACAATGGCTCGGGCACACCGATGGCGTATGAGACTTGGACGATGCACCTGCGTGCAAGTCCACTTGCGACTATGCTCTTAGCAGCTTGTCTGACAATGTATGCACCGCTCCTGTCGACCTTGGTGGGGTCTTTCCCGGAGAAAGCACCACCACCGTGGGCTCCCCATCCTCCATAGGTGTCGATGATGATTTTGCGTCCGGTGAGACCTGCGTCACCATGGGGACCACCGATGACGAAGCGGCCCGAGGGGTTAAGGTGGAAGATGGTCTTCTCGTCGAGGTATTTCTCGGGGATGACGGGCTTGATGACGTGTTCCTTGAGGTCTGCGGCAATCTCGTCATTGGTAACAGTCTCGTCGTGCTGGGTGGAGATGAGAACAGTGTGCACACGAACGGGAACCATGGCGCCCTTGTCGTTGTAGTACTCGACAGTGACCTGGGTCTTGCCATCAGGTCTCAACCAGGGGCAGGTGCCATTCTTTCTAACTTCGGTGAGGCGAGCGCCCAATTTGGTGGCGAGGACATGGCTAAGGGGCATCAATTCGGGGGTTTCATCAGTGGCATAGCCAAACATGTGGCCTTGATCACCAGCGCCAATCTCCTCAGGGCGCTTTGTGAAGTGGCCGTGAACACCCTGGGCAATATCTGGGCTCTGCTGCTCAATGTTAACTAGGACCTTGCAATTGTCAGCATCAAGACCAACATCGTCTGAAACAAATCCAATGTCTCGGCATGTGTCACGGACGATCTTTTCGTAGTCCACATTTGCCTTGGTGGTGATCTCTCCAAAGACCATGACCATGTTGGTCTTGCTGCAGGTCTCACAAGCGACCTTACTGTCAGGGTCCTGAGCTAGGCAGGCGTCGAGCACCGCATCGGAGATCTGGTCACAGAGCTTGTCGGGGTGACCCTCGTTTACGGATTCAGAAGTGAATAGAAAGGTCTCCATCTCTGAAACATTGTTACAACAGCATATTAGATCATGTATAAAGAAATTTAGTTGTGACAATGTAACTATTAATTATGTTCTATAATTTAGTTGCATCAGCTACCACAGAGCAAGGTTGAAGCAGAAACATCAAGAAATCAAAATTGATGGAGAAATTTCAGCGATTCAAGTAACAAGATCGAGATTCAAAAAATACAAAGAAGAATTTGGTAAATTTTACAGGTTGGAAATGACGCTGTAACCTCGAGAAATCTGAGAAACCAAACAGGGTGCTTAACATAACACGATACAAAGTAGGACGAGAAATTAAGATTGGTAAATACAGATCTGCCAAAAGGAAACCATAACTCATGTAGAAGGGCACTAGATCTACTAAAAAATTACAACGGACTCAAATTTCATAGATAGTTAGCTACTAAATCCAGTGACCAACGTTAAGTAATAGAGCA